ATCACTTGAAAAAGCTAATGTTTATCGAAACATGTTGTGATATATTTTTTCAATAAAGTTTGTGTAGATCAAATCGTTTAGGTGTAGTTTGTGAAAAAATCTTCATTTTCAGTTCTTTCAGGGATTTCAAATAATTTGATATAATATCAGACAATGGAAGTCCGAACTAATGAAATTCTTCTTTGAATTACTAGTCAAGATCTTGTTTCATGGTCCATTTTCATAATAACTTAATGGGACTTAATGCTTTTTAGTGCTGGTAAATAAAAGTTTGTGCTTGAAAATGTGTTTTACTATTAGTTAATTTTTTATATTTTAGTTATCACTGGACATGTTCCTAAGTGTGTTCATTTCATTCAATGCGTTATTGTTGCATGATTGCTTTCTACATTTGTTCGATCATCACCAGACTATTCCTAACTTTTGCCGAGTTATAAATCGGCATCTCGTTTTCCCGTTGAACCTTTTTGTTTGATTTCTATATCATGAAAATTCGCTATATTAGATTCAGGTGACATAATTGAATTTTCCGTATTATTTTCAGCAAATCCTTTCAGTTGATACACATATCATGGAGTCTGCCATCTTATGCGGTCTGCCATATTGGATTTAGAGTGACGTCATGTTATCTTTCGTATTCTTTTCAGACATTTCATTTGAAACCAGTAGAAAAATTATACTCGAAAGAACAACAATGGGGATTTTTTATTCAAAAATACATTGGAACTGACCGATACGTGACGAAAATTCATTAAAACGTATAAAAAACCTACTTTAATGTGTGATTCCACTTATGACGCCCGAAGATGCTATCGTATCGTATATCGCGGATTTTGTGAAGTGTGTTTTTTGACTACGACTTTTTTTAATGCTCATATTGTGGAATGAGTATACGACATTGTTCAGAAGTCTTTCTAGATAAAAATACATTTTCATATGGATTTTCAATATTTATTTAATTTCTTTTCATCACAGAACACTTTTCTTGAACAAATTCTGACAAGGCATAAAATCATTGGTAAATTTCATTAAATGAACTAAACATCTGTTTTTTATATGTATTTATCATTTGGAACATTCTAATTATCAATATTTACCAATTGTATCAGAAACTGAAAATGTTTAAGCTTGAAAAAGCTTTATGTGCTGAAAATTCAACGATGATAGTTTTTAAGATAAATTTCAACATAAGCACTGGATTTTGAAAAGATCATCATAGTGTTCTGGAATAGATGACACAACTGATGAGAGTAAAAGGCTAATTAAACTCAACAAAATAATGACGATTTTATCTCTCATCATTCACAACCTCCAACTATGAAGAATGCTGCAGAAGGTAACTACTGAATCGAAGTTGCCTACTACGTCATCCTCCCACTTCGTATTCTAACGAGGAGAATTTTTAAAGAGGTTAATTTTTTCAAAACTATTCTTTATTTGAAATTCATATGATTTCACATACTAATGAATCTGAAACTGAAAAAATATTTTATTCAATAATGAAATTCAGTCAATCAATAGAAGTGTTAATGCTTCACGAGATGTTTGTGATATTTCAATAAAAAAGATTTTGCCCTTGGAATAAAAGGTGTTGTAGCGAAAATAGTGATGATGTAAAACATATTTCCGATCCAAAACAGTTGTACCAAAACCAAAACTTTCCTATTTAGAAAGAGTATTCTACAGACGAAAGTTTTGCCCAAGGATTGCCATTAGTTCAGTTAAATATCATTTCAATATTCTATCACCTGAAATATATTGCATATAATTTGAAAATTCATCACAGAATCTGATGTGAAAATTAATTATCGAAACACCTCAACAAAGAATACGAGTTAGTAATAATGAATTGGTTGCGATTTGCAGAACAGCATATTACAAGATGAATCACAGAAGAAGATAATATAGAATAAATGGATATGTTTTTAAAAATAAAGTATTATATGTTTTTTGTTTACATATTGTATATTTTGTCCAAAATTATATTTTGTAATGCTTTATTTCTACTACTCTTCTTCTTATTCAGTTATTAATCGGTTTGCAAATTTTGATGTGAGAAAGAATTCATCGACTTCTCATTCATGCAAACACCATTATATATTATTCGACCAGCATTGATAATTTTTGAAACCAAAAAAAAAAAATAACAGTAGAATGAAACCTATTAGAAAAGGAGGGAAATATGATAATAATGAAAGAAAAAATAAATTACAAGCGATCTTAGTTCGTCAAGTGGGAGGGGGTGAGTTTTTAAGAGTAAAAAATGGTTTATCCCGATTTCCGACAAAACTACAAGTCCTATGGAAAAAAGTTAAATGGCAAAGTTGTAGGTAATAAAAAGATCTACAACGAAGTTTTTGTTCATATTTATCATTTTCTCCTCCTTTTCTAATATGTTTCATCCGACTATTATTCTTTTTTTCACTTTTTACTATTTTTGAAGGCTTCAGCCCTGGTCTATGAGGTCACTAACCCGGCAGACTACACGGTTACCCTGTGGGTTTAACATGTATCTTCCCTAACCTTACGTAAAGCGGAAAAATCCCCAAAACGAGCCGGATGAAGAGCAATTCCAAAACTCGTCCCTCTTCGAGGCGAGATGGCGGAAAGGCAGGGAGACTGAGAAATATCCTAAATTCAAACTGAGGACTACCTGAATAGGGTAGAAAAAGCTTCAACGGTTCAATGCCCACCAGTTGAAGACTATTCGCAGACAATAACGCTTATTTTTGATTTGATTGTATGTAACAACACATTAAATAATTTATTAGTATTAGTATTTCTACGCTCACCAACATTATAATCAATAGAGTACACCTGTATTCTTTTGGTTTTCAAATAATTATTGTATCATTTTTTTTGTCAAGTTCTCCCAAATTTTTGATAACTCATACTTCTTTTATGAGTCATTTTAATATTTTTATTTTATTGTTTTTCGTTACAATTAACTCTTTACCTGTGAATTGTGCCAAAATCATACCATCACATAATGTGTTTTGTATTTTTGCAGTATTATTTGCATCCTTAATTATAATCAATATATTTACAATATACTCGTACATGGTTGACATTCTTTCTTGTCGAATGTTAGAGATTTGAATTTACATTTGCAATAACTAATTTTAAACCGGAAATTATGGAAATGATGAAAGCATTGAGAATAAAAGCTCAAAGTTGTAAGAAACCACTATCGACATGGGTGTAAAAAACGCGGTACCCGATAAAACGCGGGGCCCAAGAGATTGGATAGGAATTAGTCAGTCATAGTCAACTTGAGCCAACCAGGCGAGAGCATTGTTATTCATTTAATTGTTTATATCCAGATTGGAAAACGGGTGATGGTTTATTCGTTAAGTTCAATTGTGAATTGATGTATCTTTGAGTAAAATATATTTTATTCGATTATTATATCTGCTTTTCTTATAAAGTATAAAACATTAAAGTGAATTCGTGAAAAAAATGATATGAAAATAAAGGAAGGAGATAATAACTCATAAGAAGCAGAGAAGAATATGGAATTGTGTACAATCGAACAATTTGTTTGAAATCATTATAACTGTGATGTATTGCATACAGCATATTGCTAATTTCATTTATCAGTAAGGTTTATTTTAATACAAAATTATTCTCAATTTTCTTAATTCATATCTGTTTCAGTTCATCATAACTCGTAAATGAAGGAAGGAAGCAATTAATTTCAAACGAAAATTCTTAACAAAGACCGTGTAAATCATGCAAAGAAGTTACTTTCAGACACAAACTGGAAAAAAATCATCCCGGAAAACTTACTCATATACAGCGTGACTCACGGTCGATGGTAGGTTAGACGTTTCTGGAAAACGCAAAGCATGATTTTTCTGAAAATTTCACCTCTCACAGTTCCTTACCTGTTCTATCGATCTAAAATATTTTCAGCACATGCTCATACTGTGGGATGAGTATACGACATTGTTCAGAAGTCTTTCTAGTTATTTCTAATAAGGATACTTGCTGTATTCATTTCCGTGACATATCTTATAGTCTAATATACTATTATTATACTGGAAAAAGGGATTTCTTGAGTCCTTGTGAGTATTAATTTTTTTGATTAATTTTCTTGGGTTGTTGGGCTCATGTTGGGATAAAAATAAAAAGCTTCCATTAGACGTTTCGCCTCTGGGCAGATTCATATCTAAATTTTGATCTTCTTCTCATCATAATTGGAATGATGATGTTGATTGGAAAAAGCAGTGTATCTGGATTCAGTGAAATGTCTTGGGTCTGTAGAATATTCAATGGAAACTTGCTTTTGCAACTGGGTTATTTTTTCTTTTGTTGGAATGTTTATTTACTATATGTAGGAGTGATTGGGATGGTTTAATTTTGGAGTAAGGTGAAATTTTTTGAAAATATTTTGAAGTTAAAGGACGGTGTGATATATTTGGTTGCTAATATCTGTTCTGTAGTCCATTTCTTTTACAGTTCTTTTCTCGTGGTTGCATTCATATACTAAAACTTTGGTTTCATTGAAATTAAGATTGTGGTGATCAGTAATGATATATTTGTTCAGGGCCTTCTTCGAATTATTCGTGTGATTGTTACCATTTAGCCGATTTCTCAAGAGTTGTGATGTCATTCCTATGTAAACTTCAGCGCAATCAAAACACGGAATACNAAGTATCCGTTTTCATTGCAGTTGTCCCATCAAATTATAGCGCATGCATTCAACAAACCGGCCTCAAATATTCGCATGTTCAAATAACACATTGTATATCATTGAAATTCAAATCAATTGCTCACCTTAGGTATATTCCAGTCAGTAAAATGAGCACACCCGAGTTCAAATGACTGTACCGCGATAAAATTGCGCGTTAATTCAACTACGAGTCAGTCATTCTACACAGTAAATTGAACTAATATCATCCTCACTCTTCCTACAATCATATACTTACCTACCGTTACATAAATATCAATTATGAATAGAATACACACATCTAATGAATAGTTTGAAGTACACCTACTTCGCTTATCATCTACAATCAGACTGAAATGAAACTTCGTTTTCGAAAGTTGAGAAGGAATTCCAGCCCATGTTTATTTCAATCGTGAATTATCAAACATAATAAATTTCATGTGGTCGACTCGAGCATTCATTTGAATGGCGCAAGCGTTGTCTTCATCGATTCAAAATATAGAGATGGCCATGACCTACGATTCATCAGTTTTCTCCAGGTTTCTAATTCGACCACGCCACTGAAGATGACTGCCGCATTTGCAGTCGAAACGTTTGGAGATTGTAACCAAAGAAGACATATATTTTGAAATTTGTAACAGGTTTGCATATTTTGTTTTTAAAAAATATAAACTATACTTTCAGGTAGTAAGTACCAATACTTTTACTGCCATATCATACATACTACTTTCATCAGAAAATATAGTAATTATTTTCAAAAAACAAAACATGCAAACCTGTTACAAATCTCAAAGTCCAATAAAAAAGATTTCATACCACTTTAAAGCCAAATTCTTATGATGATACAATTTTTGAGTAATCGACTGAATGGCTCCAAATACATGAAAAAATCTAGCACAGCCCTGAACAATCATAGTATTACTCATGATCACAGTCCAAATTTCAATGACACTAAACTTTTAGGATATGAATGCAAACATGAGAAAATAACTGAAAAAAAGCACCAAACACGATGAAGTGTTACAACATATGTAGGTATATTAGCATCCCACGCCAAATCTACCACACCGTTCTTCAACTTCAAAAACATTTTCAAAAAGTTTCACTTTACTTCAAAATCGAACCACCCCAATCACCCCCTACACATAGCAAATAAACATTTCAACAAAAAAAAAACTCAGTCACAAAACCAAGTTTAAATTCGATATCCTGCAGAACCGAGACATTTCACTGAATCCAGAAACACCGATTCTTTCAATCAACATCATAATTCTGATTATAATAAGAAAATGGTCAAAATACAGATGTGAATCAGATATTATCGTCATTGGCAAGGTATGTAATCCATAAACTTATTAGTAAATATTGTTTTTCTTTATATACAGTTCTACAAAATGTAACCACCTTGTTCAATGAATAAAATTTTCGAAGATGCTTCTGGCCAGGGGCAAAACATCTAATTCGGGATTTTCATTTTCATTTGTAGTTTCAAATCAAGAACATACAATATCCAACTCAATAACAATATCAAATTTCTAGAGAAAACTATTTTGGAACCCTGATCAACGTGCATCATCAATTTTGATTAAGAAGTATTTAAATCACTTCCTATTAACATCCCACTTGAAATCAACCAGTTACACAATTTGCAGACAAAATGTGGCATATATTCAACAGCTTCGCTTGCGCAAAGTTACTTCTCATAGTAGGTACTCAACAGTTACTGCCACTTGTACGAGAGTGTGAGAAAGAAAATACCACATACGTTGTTATTCGCCGGATTTGCACATTCTCAACATCTGATTTCATTAATTTTTTCTGCGTTCGGGATGAACCTCTTTAAATGTAACAGTTTTATTGACAGTAATACAAATTATGAAATTATGAAACAACAACAACAAGAATTAATTGGCGCTCCAGGGCGACTTGATTAATTCCAGTGGCGCATTTGCTTTTTCATCTACAGAAAAACCCGGAAAAACCTGCAGCACGACATCATGTATCCACTGAATGCACAATTATTTACTAAACAACATTATGTTGTTCAGTAGAAATTGCCTTTTGATAGGTATACAGAAGGTGGATACTGCGTTTCACAAAAATATCTACTGTCATATCGATGTTAGGGTACAAAAAATTTTTGTTGGCATTTCAGCACGCTGCAGTTCGGAAGTTAACGGGTTCTTTTCTTCATAATGGATCAAAAAATGAGCCGCTTAAGGGTCTGTTCATTAGATGAATCAATGAATGAGCATAACATTTGACAAGGAATGTCACAGCCGCTGGTGTTGAAAACTACCACCCGGGTCATTTTGTGAATTTCAATATTTAAAAAAAAAATAATTGATAAAATAACAAAAGTATCAGTTTTCATTGCAGTTGTCCCATCAAATTATAGCGCATGCATTCAACAAACCGGCCTCAAATATTCGCATGTTCAAATAACACATTGTATATCATTGAAATTCAAATCAATTGCTCACCTTAGGTATATTCCAGTCAGTAAAATGAGCACACCCGAGTTCAAATGACTGTACCGCGATAAAATTGCGCGTTAATTCAACTACGAGTCAGTCATTCTACAAAGTAAATTGAACTAATATCATCCTCACTCTTCCTACAATCATATACTTACCTACCGTTACATAAATATCAATTATGAATAGAATACACACATCTAATGAATAGTTTGAAGTACACCTACTTCGCTTATCATCTACAATCAGACTGAAATGAAACTTCGTTTTCGAAAGTTGAGAAGGAATTCCAGCCCATGTTTATTTCAATCGTGAATTATCAAACATAATAAATTTCATGTGGTCGACTCGAGCATTCATTTGAATGGCGCAAGCGTTGTCTTCATCGATTCAAAATATAGAGATGGCCATGACCTACGATTCATCAGTTTTCTCCAGGTTTCTAACCTCACTATTTTTTACGCGTTCAATTTTCACTGTCACAATTATATAGTGCATTCAATAATTACGTTTGTTATCTGTTCAGTGAACAAATGTTTTTAATCAAGAGGCTTAGGCAACCATGAATGGTATGAGCAGTATTTTTAAATGTTTGTTTCTTGCTATGAAATACCTACTCGGCACAGCCGAATTTTACCGAATCAGTTCGGCCTTGATAATGATATAAGTTATAAGTAAGCTGTGGTTATAGTACGTACCTACCTGAATATAGTTGAAAGGATTCCTGAACTTTATGCAATTGAAGGTTTATTCGATCAATTTATAAGTTAGACAGATTTATGTGTTAACTCGGGACATTTCCATATGTTAAGATATGTTGAGCGTAAAATATCAAGAAATACATACAGAGTATTAATTTGTAAAATTTCCAACTTTAAAATCTATCTACCAGAAAATGAAATTGAAAAGAAAGAACTGAAAACAATTCATTTGCAACGAAAATTCTTAGTTCTCACGGTTCAACACTTTACGATGTTACCCTCAGAATATGAATACGAGGAGGTTCTGAATATTTTTTGAAATATTCTGATTTATTTTCATTAATAGTTATGTGATGGACCCAAAACACCAACATAATTTTCAAACACACCTTTTGCATTCCACTACATTGTCATAAATAATTCCCCGACCAATCCCATTGGCAGCCTTATGGGTGGCGAGCAGGGCAAACGTCCAGATCCTCTTAAAAATCATTGAATTAAGTTTGATTTGAAAATGTATACCACCAAGACGTCCGGTGATTACCATCACCGGTCATCACGTTTGTTCAGCCAGAAAAGTCGCTTATCGATTTCGATGGACTCGCGAATTATCCGAGCTTGTACTGTTTTCGCTGTGGCGAAGGTCTTAGTGTTTGCAAAGTATGTTTATGTGTCCTGTTTATTTTTGTCGAATTTGTTGGAACTATTCGTTCCCCACCCTCATGCACTCACAAGCTAATTAATAAGCCTGATGTAGTCCTTCTCGACCACTAGAGCCAGACGATATTTGTCGTCGAGTTTTTAGCTCCTGGAGTGACGAATATTTTCCGAAAAGAGGTGGAAAAATGCACCACTTTCTCAAAATAGTTGTTCTGATTATTGGAGTCTTTGGTGGAATGATGCCCTCTGCCTGACCAGCGCATACTACGGTAAAAAAAATAATAAAAATAGTGAAAGAACTTGAGAACGGTTGAACCAATTTTGATCATCTTTGTGTTTTTGGATTTGTCATGTGTATTTCTATGGCTTCTAAAGCCATAGAAACCATAGAAATATACAATCACCAAAAGAACTCAAACAGAAAGAAAGCGAGCACATATCTACCAAAGATCTGGCACACATCATTGAAAAACGCCAAAACGAAGTTTCAAAGCAATTTTTTTAGGACATTTTCAAACGAATACAATAAACTGAAATAAGTAATTAACGATATATACACCTTTATATACCTATACAACTGCAGTAGGTAATAACAGACGGTCTTTAATGACTTTATTACCTGAAATGTGTTTACCCGTGACAATGTGGGTGCGCTAATCTGAAAACCGACGAGTGGACTAGTTCAATTTAGTCATTTAGTAGGATACATCGGCAATGCTTATGCTTACAAATTTCCAGGGATTTCAAATAATTGAGTTTCCAACCCTTGCCTGCATAGTGCAACATTTTCGTATCGATTAGATTCGATTACTTGTGGTTGCATTCCAAGGAATTATTTCAATATCTACCCATGTCAGAATTGACTATAGTGGTCTCCAAGCTGTTCATAAGTATACCTGCTAAAAGTGGACTGAGGGGTGAGCCCATTGGTATACCTACTTGAATGCTGTTATTGAACTTGAGGAAATTCTGATTTAGGCATACATCGAAAGCTGTCTACATCTTTACATCGAATAAAACTAAAATTGAATTATGTGGTGTGGTTTGGTCTGTTATTACCAACTGTAGTTGTATATACAACATTTATCGGGTTTGGTATTGGGATAAAACTCCAGTAATATTCATTACTACACCAACAGTTCCAAACAATGCATTACAAGTACTCTGCATATTATACAATTTTCTCTCTTACCTATGTGATCGAGTTCTATCAACTATGTAGTACACCTATGACTAACCGTTTCTGAAATAATAATTATTTTATATTTTTTGCGTTTATGGAAGTGAAAATTTGCTGAAAAATAATTTATCGAATACATCAAACAACAAATGAGTTCTTTATCTGTTCTGATGGAATACATGAACATGATTATGTTAATAATTTCAAAAACGAATACTTTTATAATTTGAATTAATGAAACCAATAATAACATCATTCAAATTATATATTTTATATTTGATAATGAAATAACTAATGACTCAGGTACTTGAAATGAGGACCTTTCGGCAGTAAACATTGATGATTGATGAATCGACGTTAATACATATGATCAGTCGTAAATCTGCGCCAGAAGTGAAATTATACAAAAGTAAGGTCGCATCCAGCAGTCGTCAAAGATATTAGCACTTTTCCACTGTACTCCACACATTTCAAGTTCGAGTACAATATCCAGGATCTCCTTCCAACTGAATCTGTTCCAGTTCTGGAATAACTCCAGAGGCAAATTGTCTAGAAATTCACTTCTAGATTTTTTTTGGAATTCAACTTTTTTCATGAAGGCAAATTGAACATTGATCATATATAAGCAATCAATACACATTGAAATTTTTTTGTAATGAATTGAATATTTTCTGATGCCTGAAAATGATCATTCTGAACATTTAGTATTCCTTCACGACAAAATTGCGATTCATCAGTCCATTTTTTTTTTCAAATCGTTGGGATCTTCGTATGTCCATGTTGTAACATCTCTCAAAATTTTACCCGATTTGTAGGATAATCTCTATGCAACACTTGAAATCAGATCGATTTGTTTGCACAATTTTCCATATCAAAGTGCGGGAAATTTACAAATCCACCGCAGCACTAGATATTGATACATGAGGATCAACATACAGATATCCTAAACAATTTTATTTTAAGCATAACTGCAGTCACCGGATTCGTTCGGATTCTTGAGGCATTAACTTTCCTGAAGTTCAGATAATTTTGTTGATTTCTTCAGATTTATTTACTTCTTTGCTGTTAAATTTAAATATTACTCATTCAATCTTCTACGCGAATCGAATATGATTATATAGCACCATAAGTAACAAATTTGAGTATTCTGTGTTCATCTGCTATTCTGCTAGTGGATACAGTTGGAGGCATCACTGCTACGATATCATGCTATGTACAAAAAAAGTGAGTCGCAATTTTTATTGCTAATTACTTATTTCACCATGTGTGCTGCAGACTCTGTACCATCTTCGACTGTTTGGTAACTCAGTTTAACTTTCCATTTTGTTGTGCAATCCAGTGAAGCTGAAGAAAGAACACTCCAAGAAAGGGCCCTTTCAGAAGCAGGGATTTGTGCAAGTTTATGCTTTATGCCACGATTCTTAGAGTCTACTCTTGTTTCATTTTTTATAATTTTTTCGAATAGTCGCAGACGCGACAGTTCGAAATATGATTACAGATATTTTCAGTCAATAAACGCTTTCTGGTATGAAATTCATTGATATTACTATCATATTCTGAGAGTCGCACATTGAGAGGTGAGACCTTGATGACTCCTCGAAAATAATGGCTCATGATAGTGAACATTGCAGTCCTCAAGTTTTTTTCCACATAATTTCAAAGAATTCAGAACCCATCCTTTACTTTCTGCGCAATGCACAATGATTAGTCGCGATCCTTTGTTTGCAGGCATGTTGAGCGTACACATTCTCGAACCATCAGTCCACCCTTTCGTAACTGTGTCGTGGGTGTCACACCAAGTTTCGTCTAAATAGAAAATTTAGCGTTGTTCTTGTCTATATTTTGTTGTTTTTTATAATTATTTTTTACGCAATTTCACTATTCTTCTGCTTTCCATAACGGCTTGACGTTTGTTTATAATTTTAAATCTAAATCCTAGTTTCTTTATCCAATTCTGAAGAGTTTTGTCACAGCAGCTCACGTTATGGCCGGAAGTATTCAATTTCTTTCTTATGATTTCAGTTGTAGAAATCTCATTGTTTTTGTAACAGTCGTATATTGTTTTTTTCAATGATTTTATCAGAAGAACATCCAAGGGTTTTGGTAATCCTGTATCACGTCGCGTCTTGCGTTCATAAAGTTTGTTGTTGGCTATTTTACGTACAGTTGAGAAAGGAGAAATCTGATGTTGCTTGTAATAGTTAGTTTCCTTCGAAACCATACTTGAGATGTAGATTCTTACATACATTGAAACATACTCTCTGTGTTTCAATATCCAAATGCATCCGAATCTTTTTCACTAGTATCTCTTTTTCACATTGTTAACCATCGCTATTTGAATCACTACCCTGGAAAAAGTCTGCATCGTTATCACACTCATTATTACTGTTTTAAATCACGCCCAAAAGGAAATAACGCCATACGCCACTGGTAACCAAACGTGACGTAGCTGAGAGCGTGGGAATATCCAATGTTACCTGCTTCTGCAGACTCGAGAAGGAGCAAGAAACATGCTACCGATGTCGATAGAACTTCGTCGAAATTCTTCAAAAGAGAAAAAGATGAACGCAAAAGATAGGAAGAACAATTGCGCCGAAATGAAGATCGTGAATAACTACTAAGTATTCAGGTAAAACAGGAAAATTACAGAGACTTGCTGGTGAATATTCAAGAAAAAGACAGAGACTTGCTGGTAAATATTCAGGAAAAACAGGAAAAAGACAATCAGATGTACCTTCATCTATTGGAAGATTTAAAATCTTCCCAAGTGGGATGGGATGCTTGAAGGGGTTGAAAGGAAATTTGAAGAGGAGTTTGAAAGGGTCGGAAGGAAACTTGAAGGAGTCGACAAAAAGTTTGAAGGAGTCGACAAAAAATTTGAAGAGATTTTCCGGGAACTTCTGCGGAAAACTACAAATCGGAAACAATACATTTTCCTTTTAGCATGGTCAATTTATCGCAGACAATTTGAGAGTAGACAGTAGGATTATGAAACAGTGGTATCAACTTTAGAGGTCAGATATGGTAGTGAGCACCTTCAACAAGTCTACCAAGCTCAACTGAAGGTGGGAACTCAAGGTCCATCAGAAAGTTTGCAAGAGTTTGGAGTTGAAGCACCGGATAACTTCACCCACTGGATTAGTGTCCATAGTTTCATCGACGGGGTTCGTGACACGGATCTGTAGCAGCCATTGAGAATGGTACGTCAATTAAAACTGAATGAAGCCATCATTTATGCCCTAGAATTTGAAGCTGCGACAACAACGAAAAGTTCTAGTGAGAGCCATCCATGGTCGGTCTTGAAGAACTCTTCAAGAAATATTTGACGAATGGAACTGCACCCAAGGCAGCCTTCGTGCTCAACAACCCGCAAAGGAACTTATATACTCTTTCGAAAAAATGTGGAGCCATCTGTCTGAAGAAGAACTATCCAAGGCCACCCGATTCGTCTCGGAAGAAAACGATATGTTTGTAAAGGGCAAACTCATTGGTCGAACAAATCCCTTACACCAACCACCAAGACGTCTTCCCATCGCAAAACATGACGAAGCTGCATCCTTTGTTAAGGACATGTTGGAGGAAGGATTAATCGAGGAATCAAACAGCCCTGGTCGTCACCTGTTGTATTAGTGACTGAGAGAAATGGATCGACGAGATTTTGCGTAGACTAAAGAAGGCTTAATGATGTCACCAAAAAGGACAGTTATTCTCTCCCTAGAAAAGATGACACCCTGAACACCTTGTCCGAATGCAGATAGTTCTCAGCATTAGATCTGAAAATCGGATATTGGCAGGTGGCCGTTCGCTCCAAGGATAAAGAGAAGACGGCCTGTTCTACCGCCAATGGATTATACCAGTTTAGGTTTATGCAGTTCAAGTTATGCAACGCTCGCGCAACATTTGAATGCTTGATGGGGTTGGTGTTGAGAGGACTCACCTGGAAAGCATGCTTGGTCTATCTTGACCATGATCATTATAGTCACTGGAAAAAGTTTTGACGAACATCTGTCAAACTGGAGGAGTGTTCTCATGACGCTATGGAATGCTCATCTGCAGATCAATCCCAAGAAAAGTGAATTTCTTGGGACACGTTGTGTATTCAAAATGAGTTGAAACAGATCTGGAGAAAATAAAGGCAGTGAAAGAATGGCCAACACCGAAGAGCAAGCACGACGTAAGAAGCTTCATTGGACTCTGTAGCTATTACCGGCGTCCGAAGACAAGGCGAAGAGGAAATTTGAAGCAGTACCTCTGTGGATGCTCTTTCGAAAGATTCACAGTCGACATTTCGGGACCACTCCCTATGACCACATCCGGTAACAAGTACCTTATGGTTGTGATGGACTACTTTTCCAAATGCCCGAAGTGATAGTCTTACCCAACCAAGAGGCTGAACCGGTGGCAGAAGCCCTGTTGCAGAACGTAATTGCCAGACACGGAGTGCCCCAAGAACTGCACTCGGATCAGGGCCGCAACTTCGAATATGATTTATGGAAGGAAATTATGACTCTGTTAGGAATAAAGAAGACAAGAACAACTGCTCTCCACCCACGTTCCGATGGAATAGTGGAGAGGCATATTCGCTCTATCAATAATTACTTCTCTGAAAACCAAAGAGACTGGGATAAATTGGTTCCTCTTTTTTTGTTGGCATACAGGAGCTCCCAACATGACGCGACAAGTTGAACACCATCCATGTTGTTAACTGGTAGGGAAATGAAGCTTCCGGTAGTTGTATTGTATGGCAGTCCTTTCGATGAATCTTAAGAGGTACTTCTTTCAGAGTATGTGAATGACCTGAAGGAGATACTGGAAATTGTACACGAATTTGCCAGGATCAAATTACAGCTTTCCAGCGACAGGATGAAGATAAGATTCGATAAAAAGTCGCTGCCAGTGAGCTTCAAGGAGGGCGATGCAGTGTGGCTCTACCCACACTCCCAACATCGAAAAGGCTTGTGTCCCAAGTTGCAGAGACCATGGCAAGGACCTTACTTGGTAACCAAAAAAATAAACAATCTGGTGTACATAATCCAATTGTCACCCAGAAGCAAGCCTAAAGTTTTCCACATAGAAAAGCTGAGTCCTTACATGAGTCATGATGTCCCCTCTAATATTATTCGGGGAGAACAACCTCAGGGAAGGGGGTACTGCTGGCCGCCACTGGTAATCATAAACCAAACGCGACGTAGCTGAGAGCGTGGGAATATCCAATGTTACCTACCGCTCGAAAAGGAGCAAGAAACATGCTATCATTGCGATATTTAACGCTGGCTGCAAGACAGTCAAGTACACAGTGAAGTGGACGTTATAGTGCGGTACGCGAAGTGATCTAGTAAGGCGATAGACATTTATATAATAGTTGAAGTTTTAGTTGAAGTATTTGTGTATTTAAAGTGAAATAAAGTTAAGTTTGATTATTCAGTGTAGTCACTTATTGGTGAACCCACGGGTAAAAACGTAACATTACTATTAGTACTTGTCCCAGGACGCCAAAATTTTAACAGCAAAAATTTTAAGTAATATCGAATTTCAACACTCAAATTGCGATCAGTTCCTGAACTGAACACGACGGCGATAACCTTACCCGATTTTTATTCGTCACCGTAACATAACTTCAAATTCAATTTAATGACTCTCAAGCCAATCATAAAACGTTAGTAAAATTATTCAATACGAACCGCCAAGTCTACAGTCCACGGAGACTAGTTCGCTGCCGGTTCATTTCTATGTATTGGTTTTTTTGGCCTTTGAGAGTGTCGGCAACTTTAGGAGTGCACAATATCGTCTACTTCGACTATACTCGAACTGGTTTTGTTTCCGTTGGTTAATCTACATAGGTACATGAAATGCATCAGATGGGTTCCAATTAACATGAAGTAGATGACATATTATAGAAGGAAAGTACACTCTCTACGGAGTGTATCACGAAACGAATTAATATATAGTTTGTTTTGAATCATTACAAACTGACTGAAGGATTTATTTCCGAACTTGTGTGAAGTTAGCACCAGTCAGCAGCTCTTTTTTGCGGAAATACCTGAATGACCAGTGGCGTGCTGAAATCGTGATTTTAATGTTTTTTGGATTTCTGATATACCATCATGTAAAAGTAAGCTATATATTCCCTATCGAGAAAAATATCTTCGGCCCCGTCTATGGGGGTTGAACGCAACCCAGAAATGAAAATATCTTGAGGGATGAAGGAAAAGGAAAGCTAGGTACTTTGAAGATTATATGAATGATATTTATGACTACATATCATATTCAGTAAAATGTTGCCGCTAAAACTAGAGATTTTCGAAAGAGACGATTTTTCTACTGATAAATATACAGAATATACAATATAGCTTACTTTCATATGAGGGAATATCAGAAATCCAGAAAACATAACACTACGTTTTAGGTACCCCACTAACTATTCGGGTATATTTCCGGAAAAGAATTGCCGACTTTAACTGCTAACTTTACATTGGTTATTTTCGAGATCATTTCATAACATCAAATACAACCATGTTTTTTTCACGAGTAAGGTAGTTACACCCACCTGCCATTACATACAATTGAAATTCTCAATATTAAGCAGTACTCAAGTATTCAAATGACCAAACACCCACTAAACGTTTCATGAAAATAATGATCTAATCCTGTAATCGACAATATATCTGGCGTCATCACACTCTCTACAAAGCGTCTCAGTTCTCACTCAGTAATTCTCTCAATTTCGTACGTGCAATACCAACTTTAACTTAAATGCTTGTCAGTTTTTTTGGCATTTAAACTGCTTCGCGAATATTTTACAACGCATTTCACTAGAACTTACACGTTTTATTTTCCAGTGAAACCTCTCAATGAGGAAGCAGTACAAAGTACACAACTAAACGTTCAAACACAATTATCCCGCATATCGTACTGGTATGTCCATCTTACAAAACATTCCACAACGCGCCGACTTAGACCTTAGACTAGCTGACTAGCTCGTGTCGATGGCGAATTACCATTGAGAAAAAACAAAACATAAAAACCCTGACAGTCCACCGGCCGGCTAGACATCGAAAGTTGAAATTCAAACATTAAGTAAGCGCGGGCCGGTTTTTAGTAGTTGCCGCCAAGGTTGTTGTCCGTTTCTTCGGCTGTTTACCTGGTTCAGGCGTGCAAGAAGAATACAAAAATGGTAGTAGTGCCTGTAGTACCGGAGTTGTGAGACTGCAAGACATGCCTCCATAGTGTGAACGGTGAAGTGAATGTTGCCGCGTTCAGATAGAAAATTGTGTGCATTTTTTCGTGTAAGTGTGGAATTGGCGGGATTTTGTGTTACTGGTATGAGTCGGGACAGATTAAATTGTAAGTAATCACATGCTATATTTTTTGTAATAGTTTACATGTGTTAAACTCGAAGCTTAAACCTATACAGGTTATATTTTTTGTTTACATCATAAGATTCTGGGATAAGTGAAACGTAATGTGCAATGACCTCGGTGTACCTGCAAGATATTGCACTCGGTAGGTTTTTTATATATTTGAACATGAGATCTGACCGTCTGTTTCGATTAATTAATTGATTATAAATACAACCAGTTTGTCATTGTTTCCTTCTATGTTTGCGGGTCTTCGATGAAACTCATATATTGAGCTAGAAAAATCCATATGTTTTTTTTCAAACTATGAAACTCGTACCTATATGCTTCTAATTGAATATGTTTGAAATGTGAGGATGGAAACTCCAAACCATTATTTGTGTTATTTTCCCTAGTGAAATATTACCAACGTTCAACATATTTCAATGGGTACTTTCCAGACTTGAAGGGAGAGACGGGAAAATATCCATTGAAGAAATGTAGAAACTACTTGTTATTTGAATAAATAAAAATCTTGAGATTCAAAAAGTACATACAATCTCGCCTTCAATTTTGCTACAGCCATGTTTTCAACCACATTCGTTAACAATGAATTTCATCTCTCGAAGTTAGAAGGAGCAGAGTAATGAGAATAACCTTCAGTGGAAATGCCACTATCATATATTAAACTTGAGTCACAGAAAATGAATATCTCAGTATTCTGTTGCATTGAAAAATAGTAATAATATAATAAATATACCTATGAGTAAGACTCTATGGGTTGTGCTGAAGAACTGAGAAGATGTATTATCAAACTAGAAAATTTTCGAGGCACAAAAATGTAAATTAATTCTGGTATGAAATTTCAAACACTGGTCACTTTCGATAGCATTGAACAAAAAACTCTCAGCGGGTTCTGGTCCCATATAATCACGTGATGGATGGATCTTACACCAATACTTGATATAAACTGTGATACACGTATACGTATTGAACAACACTTACAGTTTTTACACAACAGTTGACAAAAGCGCTTTACGTGTCACTATACAACAATTGAAGGTGTATCTATATAATACCTGTTATCTTTTGGAAAAGAAAAGTTTTGGCTTTCCACTTCTTCATCTTCATACAAAAAAAATGTGGGAATCTTCTAAAGAATGGAAGAAACCAATCAATTAAAAAAAATACCTCTATACAAAGATGTGTACTATATACTTTTGAAACAAATACTTTTATATGAACACTGAATTATACAACAAACACTTTTTTCTATTCAGTTTGTATTTCAAACATTCTTTATGGAATTGAATCAGATATCATTCACAGGATTCCTACACAATATAGTAAATGAAAGACGTGAAATTTCACTCACATGGAACAATGTCATCCTCACTGGTGGACATCTGATGTGTCGTCGTTTCTTCAGCACCAAATCTGGAAAACATTATGAGATGAAGCACTCAAACCGTTCATAAAATTACGACTTTTTGTCATGAATAGGTTCAATCTAGTCATTAAGCTCTGTTGAAAATATATCCCTCTCAATTCAAACTTGTTATCTCTTTTGAACTAAAATGGCATTAACGTACTTTTTCAACTTTCAGAGCCACAATTTCGATGAAATTGAATATGAAAATTCTTAAAAAAGAAAAATGTTCCGAGATCAACCACAGATATTTTTGAACAAAATATTTATTCATTTGGATGAATTTAGTATTGACATTATCGAATGAAACAATTTGAATTATCTCCAGTATTGGATTGTTTACATTGAACTTACTTTCATTTGTTATAGTCGGTTATTGAAAGTTATATCGAGTGAACAACCAATTCTGAATCTTTCTGATGTAAAAATATATATAAAATAACTTTTTAGTTTTTATTACTTATGAAACGAAATTGTCCATTTATATTCGGATGCAAAAGGAAATATGAAAAGAGTTCAAAGACTAACTCCCTGATAACCCCAAACCTATTTCAATTGATTTCTGCGCTCTGACCTAACATATCATAATACATCCATGATAATACATATACAGCCTTGGCTTTTTGAATTCATAGTAATATAGATGAATAACGAGATAAATAATGCCTTGGAATGTTATAATTTTTCGATAGAATGGCGATTTATGCCCACTTTTTCCCAATGATGATTTTCAGAAATGATGAGGAAATTACATATACCAGATGTAAATTTGTTCAGGCTAGCCTCTCTAACTGTTTTTTCCGTTCAAGTAGCTTTATACAATTTTAGTGTTTCACATAGTATAACAGAAAATGACTACTAGTTTTACAGAAAATTAAGCAAGCTCTGATATGGAACACCCAATATATTCATATATTTAAGATTCTGAAGTTAATTTTACAAACAAACTTCTAACTTTGATGAACAAATAATACGAGTTAACCTTTTTTTAATTCCATCTAGGGGGCCATTATCACTTCCTGTGACACCATTTGAACCACCAAAATTCCACCTTATTACCACGAGAAGCAAAAAAGGGCGAGCATCAATCGTTCTTAAATGGTTTACAATGGTTCATACAGATATATCAACTTTTTTGAGTACATTAAAAATATGCTCTGTTTGCCATTTACAAAATCAGTTCGAATAAACGAACAATTTTTTTGCATTTTTGTATTGCATCCCCATTTAATTGATTATTTTGAGATAGTTGTTCAAGCCCGAGGATTATTTCAATCAGGATTAGACATAGAAAAAATTAATGACAGTCTGAAAAAGGTAGGTACCCATACTGAATCTCGTCCATGTGTATATTCATAATGTGAGAAATAATATAATACAATAATATAAAAAATAGATAATGATCTTTTTGTACAGCTTTTATTAAAGTTTACATTTTTAATGGTTGTCAAGAGTATTACGTAAAAGATGATGTTTACAAAGTAGCGTGTTGAAAATATTTTCAACACTAGTGTTGAACAACTGCTGATATTAATACTTTGGGATGTTGAAGAGCCTTGTAATATATTTGAACTAGCGAGTTGATAATTTTACGGGCATTAACGTTTAATTCTTGAAGTGAAGAGGACGATGCTGTAACGCTGGAGCTAGCTGTTGGGATTATTCTTTCAGCAATAGCCTTTTTATAAGAAATAGATTGATCGATGTAATCCTCAGCTACTGTTGTAGACTTCCATCCTCCGTGCTTCTCAATATCCGTTATATTTGCTCTTGATTCTGCTAGCAAAGAAGCAGAAGACCTTCTGAAACAGTGACCTGTATTCCTGTGGTTCCGGGAGGTTCAGAAATTCACCAATGGTAGAGGGCATTTTCCCAAACGTGTTTATACCAACTGGGTTGGCACTGCATTTATAATTTGAATATTCCAGAAAAGACGTTGATGATTGATAACAGAAAGGCGTAATGCAAAGTATTTATTAAAATAGTAATGTTTTCTTCAACAATGCAAAAAGAACGACCTATTTTCGTTTTTGTATTTGGAATTTGAACAATCCATGATTTATCCATCAATTTAATGTCTTCTATTAATAAATGGCACAGCTCCATATATTCCGAAAATAGTAGCAACTATGTTGCTACTATCATCATCATCATCAATGTTTTTCATCTGGCGCCTCATTTATAGACAACCTCTGGACTTTTTCAAATGTAAGAGTTTTTGATTTTTTGGGCCTATAACTTCAATTTTTCCGCTTTAAGAATGCTATTTCCTTGAAATAGCATTTTCGCTACTTTTTAACGAGCGCACTCGACTTCATCATTGAAAACTTGCTACACAAAGTTGACGAGTTTCTTATTTTTGATTTCTCTTCTAGATAGGCTAAGAAAACGGTTTCGCTGAAATTCCCTTCAACGTTTTTAAGTCTACACCAGCATTAGAATATGCGATGTCGTACTGCCGAGCCGATTTTTTTGGTAACAATTCAATTGAAGCTCTTTTTCCAGCCTCTTCAATATCGTCAGGAACACACAATTCCTCACTATTGTTCTTCATTGTGCAAGACATTAAACACCAGCAAGAACTTCAAATATGACTTCAAATAAAACGCGTGGGCTGAAAACAATACTGCTTGTTGGTAACCAGATGATTCGGCGTCACCTGACACGGCCACTTCACAGCAAATGTGATAACATGAAATGATTAATTGACAATGTAAAAATGTGTTTTAATAGAAATATTGAATTTATGTATGATATTTGTGTTAAAAGTGAGTTTTATTTTGTTCGTGAAACTGTTCAACTAGCTACGCTCGTTTCGCAAACTTTTTCACTCACAAAATGAAACCTTACTTTTGAGACTTATATCATAAATAGCCATTAACATGGAGTGTGAAGTTATCCAAGGTTCAATGAGGGAAAATGTTAAATTAGTATTATCTTCCCCATTACCGCAAATCGGTGTGAACTTGGCTACAGGCGTCAGTGCAGGAACTTCACAGAAAATTTCCTGCGTATGCAATTGCCAATACAACTGAAAGAGTCGACCTTCAATTTTGGAACGGGCACACACTTACTGCAAGTCTTCAAGCATAACCCACTGACTAATAAGTAACTTCACTTTGTCCAATAACTGAAATGCATCTATTCATTATTTTGAAATAAACCAGGTTGGTACAAGAACTATAAGTGAACTCAAATAGTTACTACCGATCTATTTTTCGTTATTTTCAAAAACTGCTCACCAAAAAATAAAACGGCAGAGTATCATTGGAAGCAGAATTGAATGCCAATCAAAATGATATGCCACTTGTCACCTCTTCCTATGTAAGATTCTAACGGTAACATCCACCCCTCCTTGGGGGTTGAACCATGAGGGCTATAAATATTCTTCGAAAATATCCTCCTTGACTATAAAATTGACCTGATTTTTCATATTATTCACTGGAAGGAAGATATTTAAAGTGGGAAGTTTTTGAATTGACACCCTGTATATTATTTTATTTGAAGAAGCTAATTTTGATACGCCACGCTTTTTATGTGTACCGTGTATTTCAGAAAAGGCCAATGCATATTATATTATATATATTATAGATATGTGAAACTTTTACGATATATTTTTTAATATCTTCACTTCTAAATCTCCAACTTCTAATGGATACTC